AGCTAGGGCACCTAGGGCAGACCAATCAAGAATGTGTTCTAGCGATCTAATAAAGTTAATTTGCTACTTTGCTTCTGCCTCTGGAAGTCAAAAATTTCCTAGAGCAGATTTTTCTAAGGCAGATTTTTCTAAGGCAACTAGCTTCTTCCTATAATAATATGTTTTCGAATGATACTTATCTACATGTAAATTACACATCCCATGTATTGATGTGGTGGATTTCCCACACTGCTTGCAAGAGTTTCACTGACGCTTTTTTCAATAAATTTTGCATCCTTCTTGTCGATCACAAACCCATCCGCACAGGTTTCCTTTATTAGAAAGATATTGGCAGATAAATTTGACCCTCATTGGATATCTTAAATTTCTATAATTATTTTTTTTTATTTAAACTTTTTTTCCAGAACAATATATCCTGAGTTTAGGATATAGTACACCTTTCAAAAGTTATCTAAAAAAATGACCCAATCTGAGCTTTCAGAGTTCCCCGATGCGCCCCCCGCCCCATACTATTGTGGGTTAAGAGCTTCTGATGTAAGTCAATGCCTATATAAAATTCGCGATGATAGTATTAGACCAAGAAATTTCCTTGGCGCAGACAATGAGGATGGAATAAAAGCCATATTCTCAGATTGTGAGAGTCATTCTTTGCATGAATTTATTGATGGCGATGAGCCACTCCGTCCTATTATAAATTTTGATTTGCCACGAAAGGTGTATGATTCTATTGAACCTAAACTAACAGGCAAAGGGATACAAAATTTACTTATTCATGCTTTTATAAAGACGTGTTTAGAGATATCCCCAAAGTGGGATCGTAAAACTATAACCATTGCCAGCAGTAGTGATGCGAAAAAAATGTCTTATCATATCTCAACTTTCGGTATGAGGCTTCCAAATATTGCTAAGGTTTCAGTTTTCAGCGAACTTGTTCGTAAGAAATTTCCAGCATCTCTTTAGAGAAATAGTATTATTGACAATATAGTAAACAAACGATCATTCTCCTTGCGAATGCTAGGGACGTCTAAGTTTGATAAAAAGACTGGCTCCCATATACGGGTAAAAAAAGCAATACATCCAAAAGATGAAACTATCTTTAACTTTATGCTTCGTCCGCCCAATGATGAATCAGAAATCGTAGAAAGTTCTCTCTTAAATGTTCTGGAGCTAGAAGTTAAAAGGTGCCTGAAGGGAAATAATGATACTAATAGCGAAACCACTCAGACAGAATTCGATTTTGTGGAATCATTACTCAGAGAAAATGGTATCGAAGGGTATACTCTCTCATTCCCTTCAGATAACATCCCTGACTTGTTTTCATTAACATGCAACTCCCTATCACACTGTCCATTATGTGATTGAGAACATACTAGTGATAATGCATATATTATACGAAATAAAAAATCATATAGATTTTATTGTTATCGTGCCAATCAAGATAGGCAACCTGGCATAAGAAACCCCTCACTAAAGCTCACCATTAGTGAAACTGTCTTGGATTGAGAGCAAAAGCTTCCAAGCCTTACAAAACTAAACCGATCCAGAATTTCAGATCCCACCGATCACTTTGTATGGGGGATCTAATTGACATGTGTGATACCAAAGAAAAATTCACCCGCAATACTATATACGAAGCAATTCAAGCAACAATAGCATGTATCCAAACTAATACAAAATTATGGGTATTAAAACTTGAGGATTCTAATGGAGGTCTTTTCTTTAAGATGTCATCTAAACTAGATATCGCCAAGTACGAAATTAGCTTAGTTGAGCTAGGAGAAGAGGTGGTAAAATTGGTAAATCTAATAGATCGGGCAGTTATAAAAGGCTTAATTCGATATCAAGGTATAGATTTTCTTCCATATTCACCATGTAGCCCACCACTAAATACAAAGTTTTTCAATCTTTTCTTAGGCTTCAAAGCTTATATTAATAAAATTGATTCTACTTTTATAGAACCGATTATCTGATATATAGAAAATGTTTGGTGTAATGGCGATAAAGTTCTTTCGGAATATGTTCTCAATTGGTTTTCATACCTTGTACAATACCCTGATAAAAAACCTAGTACTGTTTTAGTGTTATGTTCTCCTCCACATTCTGGAAAAAATATATTAACAGATTTTATTGGAAAGGAAGTATTGGGGCCAGAATTATTCTTCGCAACTTCAGATCTCGGGAAAGTATTAGGAAGATTTAATAGTTGTATACAAGCACGAAAACTCATCCTTTTAAATGAAACTGGAATGGCTTCTGGTGAATGGCATAAGGCCAATGATCACTTAAAATTGCTTATTACCGAACCGTATGTGACAATAGAGTGTAAAGGTCTTGAGCCTAAAACAATTAAAGACTTTGCTGGCTATATGGTTTTAAGTAATCATGATACGCCACTTCGCATTGAGATGGGCGATGGCCGTATAGTATGTCTGGATGTATTACCTCGCTGTAAAGGAAATATGGAATATTTTAAACATCTTAGAAAAATTTTAGATAATCAAAATATACCTGGCATTTTTATGAATTATTTATTAAAGCGAGACCTCTCAGATTGGATACCACAAAACATCCCTAATACAAAAATGAGAGTAGAAACAATGCGAGATCAACTGCCTAATCCCATTCGATTTATAATCAATTATATTTTCTTGTAGAGCAATGATAAAATTGAAAAACCAAACTGTAGATATTTATATCAAATATATCTTGAATTGTGTGGAAGCAATGAAGAAAAACTATTTACTAGTGCAATTCTTGGTAAGAAGTTTTCACAAATTGGTATTGACAGAGCACGTTTATAATATAATGGAAAAAGAGAATACCATTATATCCTTGACCGCTCCAAGATCATAACCAAGCTCCGTGAATCCGGCCTAGGTGATATCGAAGAATTTTCTGATATATCTCAAGATGAGTTGCCTGCCAATAAATCCACAGACATACCCATATTCAATATGCCAAAAACTATTTCCCAAAAAATAATCCCACCCCAGCCAGAAAAGAAATCGGATAAACAGGACGAATCGACCCAAGCTCTCTTCAACTATGTGACAGAACCAGTTGCTTCAACATCTGAGACATCTGAAACTTCTAAGATTTCTGAACCATCTGAGCCAGTAATCGGTAAACCCGAACCTATCGAACCTAGTAAAAAAGCTTCCACATTTCTGACTAGAGCCCAACGAGAACAATGTCTCAGGAAATAGGCCACCAATCATGGTGAGGACCCAGACGTATTTGTAACTATCACAGAAAAAGATGTTAGATTATCCCAGGAATATTGAGACAGGATGATGTCAGATGCAGATGCCATCGAATTTGCAAAAGAAGATGGTATAGATGTAAATGAGATATTTTACATGTCCAGAAAGGAAAGGCTAATAAGTGAAGAAATATATCTCTGTAACCTCGAGGATGCTAGAAAACCCGAGCATATGTTTATGACAATAAGAAGTGACAAAAAGGTATTAGCATACTTCAAAAGAACGGTTTCTTATAGTAAAATCTCTGAAATTGCAAGTTATTATTACTGGTTGGTTTGCAACAATGCCTCTCATTGTCTCTCTCTCTTAAGGTGACAATAATTTTTTTTGGCATGTTTAGAACAATAGCCCATATAAGATAATGTAGGTTTATTGCAGATTCTACACGGGGATTTTAACATACTATTCGCACTTGATTTCCAATGGAGCGAGCACTCTGCCAAACGGGTACAAACATGGCTACAGGTGCTTTCATTTTTTTTGACATGTGGGCAGATAAGACGATCTATTATTCCTTTACAGAAGTCCGATTTCAAATTATAAAAAACCGAATTGAACTGTGGTGGAAAAAGTATATCATAAATGATAAAGTATATACCACAGCAAATATTATCACCCATGTATGTCTTTAGAACGGTACTCAACATTCTAACTGGCCGATGGATCGACCCAAATGGAAAGTTATTTCAGAAGTTGATTTGTGAAGGCTATAAATATGTTAACAGGCTTTCCGATTATTTAGAAGACACCGGAACTATGTGGATTGATGAATTTGAATTAGACCCATTATTCGACTTCTACTACCCAGCTCTAATTCCACCTCTATCTATCTTAGCGAATAGATCAGATATTTGTAAGAAGTTTCCTATTAGTGTGGAGTCTGTTGTTGAAAATGGAATAAGTTTATTCACCCTTGAAAAAAATAAACGATCTGCACTTCAGAACCTAATCCAAATGAACTATTCTAGCGATAACTTATCTACGTTAATAGAAATAACTTGGGAGTGTAAAGAGACAAAAGTTTGGAGAAATGAGGTACTTACGAAATTTCTCCATCACCCAAATTTGGCTCCTTCAAAATATAGACCAGGTGCTTTATATGATGCATTCATTGAGGTAAATGTTTTGGAGCCAGAAGATATATTAGCTCTGGCACGAACACTCTACTAAAGTGTAATATAAATTTATATATAGCTACAGAACCGCCATTCTGAGGCTATATTTTTTCACATATCATAACTACATATAAAATTCAAATTGATGTAAATATCCTTTTGGCTAGAGCAGGCGGTCCTATAGAGACCTATGTAAGATATATTATTTTTTTTCCTCCTTTGGCCCTCCATTAGTTTTCACTGATCATGAGCGAGAGGTCCACATGTAGTGAATTATCGGGAATATTTTTTTTGAATTGAACTTTTTTCTCAGAATATATAATTCGAATACTACAGATTAATCTAATACTCACCCTATATTCTACTCATCACATCATGTCTGCTATTACAACCAAGTTCGTCACAGATCACAAACTCACCAATAAGACAAGTCTCGAAGAGCTTAGCCAATATGCACCAGAAATACTTGACCTCTTAACAGATGATAAAGAGAAAAGGCGCCAGGCCCGTAATCGTCTTATAAAAAGGTATGACTTTAGCAAAGAGCAGGCATTTGCATTGATTCTTCTTCAGAGAATCGGGCGGTACAAAAGCCAAGCGCCCCTCAAAGAAGGAAGGTTAGAAGCCGAAGAAGTGAATATATGTCAAGTATTAGATAGTACTTGTTCCGAGGAGACTATTAAAGAAACGGCTCAGCGTATTATGCGAGATAAACTTAGTGAAAGAGATGTAAAAGTGATATCTAGAACCTTAGTTGAAACTGCTACTGATCCTGTCATTGCCTTATCCCGCCTCTCTAGACTTCGAAGAGAATTGCGAACCCTCAATGCTCCAAAAGAAATAATCTCTGCTACATTGAATCTGGAGATAATCAGATTATCCAATAAAATCCAACAGGAGCGAAGCGAGCAACGCGAAAATGAAGAGATCGATTTTCCGGATCACTTTTCATTAAAATCAGTTAAGGAAAGATTGGATAAGTATGACATATCTATTATACCTGATAAACAGGCTCTAGCTGATGTAATGATCATGTTATGCATTCGTCCTGCTGAAATTAAAAACTTGCGTATATCTAATAGAGGCATAACTGGATACGCAAAAAATCAGAATCAACAGGATATTCTTCGAGTGTTTAGATCACTGGAAAAGAATGAGGATCAGGCAAGACAATTGCTTACATGGATTCAGGAAGCAATTGTTTCAGGGAAGTTAAGGGATCCAGGAAAGCTTGGATCTATATACTTAAGTACATTTCTAAAAAAAGATGAATTTTTCCCCAAAAGTGGTAAACCGCTACTTCCTAGCTCTTTATGCAAATTAGAGGCAGTATTTGCTTTCATAGCGCATGGGCCTAAAAATGCATCGAAAGCTAACACTTATGCCAGTGAAACCCTTCAACATTCGCCTGATAACCACACTTCCCCATCTAAAAGATATACTATAGTCAATATGCGGAAAAGAGGAGAACCATATAATCAGACAGAGGTATTCAAGCTCTTCGATAAAAACTGATCACATAGAAGGTTAGGTATCAATTATTAATTTTATTTTTTCGTTTGAAAGAATATATATCATATATAAAATAATACGAAAATGACCAGAATAAAAATAACTGAAAAGCATTTATCCAACAACAAGCACGATGCACCTGGCGAGCAGAAAGTTATCAGATATAGAAAGTTAGTAGCTCGGATATTTGGACTAGAAAAGACAGTAAAAAAATTGGAGAGAGATGTGACATTCCTAGAGACAGTAAAAAAATTGGAGAGAGATGTGACATTCCTAGAGACTGAATTAGAAGATTTAGATAATTGTGTGGACAAGAGCACTGTGGTTGACTTAATACATAAAATAGTTTTCTCGCTGATTAATGAAAAAGGTAAGAGTTCCTCCTATTTATCCGATTCATCTGATTCATCCGAAGAATCTGATTCTGTTGAGATAATTGAGATAAGAGAACAAAAGGCTGTTTCTTATAAGCAACGAAGGAAGGCACAACCAAAAAAGGTTAAGATAAAGAAAGCTATTAGCAGTTCGAAGTAGTGATCGCTAGTTGTCCACCATTTTTCTAATGCTATTCTTGAGATCACAATTGAGTGATATATTTTTATATTAATATTTTTTTTCTTATAAATTCAAAAGAAACCTAACAGAATATGCTAATACCACACAGATCATTAGATCAAGGTGGTAATAATTTTCTTGATCTTATTCCGCCTGAATTAATACAGTATATTCTAAAGTATCTTTCCGAACAGGATCTAGCGATCCTCTCATACTAATTAATTCGTGAATGAATGGATCGCCAAATCTGAAATGAGATTTCATAAAATCTGCAAATTAGGTTTGTTAGTTATGAAGAATAAACTATAAAAATAAGCAAAGTATAAGGAATTTCGTTATGTAAAACTTATCTGGTTATAATTGAAATATGTCTATCGCTTCTACTTCTGCACCATCTACTCCCATTAATAACATCAAAAATCTCACATATAATATTCTAAAAACCTTCAAGGATGGTATTATTAAGGGTAAAAAAATTACAGAACTAGGGCCATGCTCCGAATGTGGCAATGACATGTTAATATCTCCTCTCAAGGCATTCACATACCTAATATGCGGACACCTTTTTCATAGACTCTGTATCGAAAAAAAGCTTTTACTTACTGTTCTAAACACATATCCATTCCCAGGTTGTGGAAAGAATGTGGAAATATTAAATCAAGCTAATCCCCTTGGTACTGTTTCCAATTTGCCGTTAACTGATCCCAAGGAGGCCTTCCAATCAACTGGAATTTCACCTTTAATAGACGAAACATTCGTACTATCTTCACCACCTATACAGATGGAAGGGATCAGGGTTATGGCAACCCAACAAGTCAAAAGTAATTTGAGGTGCGCCAAATGTTCTAAAGATCTTTCTTCATGTCTCTCACCTATAGGCTTTCTTCAGTTCTCTCCTCGACCTCAAGCTCCTTTAAAACCACTTGTATATTTAACTTGCAAGCATATTATCCATTACAACTGTATCGATAATCCACAAAAATTGTGTCCTATATGTCCATCAACTGATATGGAACCGGAAGAAGAAGAAGAAATGAGCGTTGATAGTGAAGAACAACCTGATACCAGCAGTAAAAACCGTTCCAATGAAGGTACGGACATCAACTCATCTACACCCAAGAAGAAGGCAAAGAAAGCAGTTAGAAGAGAAGATTCACCCATTTTGAAAAAGCTTATCAAGGAATTGTCCGCTCCAATTTCACAGCAAAGCTCTTCCGGTAGTATTATTTCTCTACAGACATTCCCTGATATGGATATTAACTCGGTTAATTTTCGTGAACTAGATGATAAGATCATCAATGCTGAAGATGGTAATAAAAAAACTATTCTAGAAGTGATTCATGCATATTATTATTTTGGGAAAGAGTATAGGTTATGATTTGATCATTATAAAAAAACATATAGTGAGGATACATCCAATTCTCTAGTTAATGATAAAATTTGGGAGCACTTTCCGGACCAGGACAAAGTTTCAGAGGCTAATCTTAGAAAAAGGAAGGAAAGGGCAATAAAAATCTTTAAACTCTTTGATGGAGTTGGAGGGGAAGGAAAGATATATTGTATTAAGTCTTTTTCTGCGTCAACTATTTCGAGACTGGGCATGGATGATATTGATTATGTAAAAGCTAAGGTTTTAAAAGCGAGCCAATGAAATTTATTGTGTCAAATTTTATTCAAGTGTGACCGCCCTGGTCACTGCTACTGAAATTTTTCCGATTTTGATAAATATCAAATTTTTACTCAACTGTGACCGCCTGGTCTAGTGTTCCAAATCGTTAGTTGAAAAACCAACTAGTTGACAACTTTACAACTAATCGATTTGAAAAAAATTTAAACA